CCCTAAGTTTTACCACAGTCTCTCTCTTGCCCCGTAGAATCCATCTGCGATCTCCCTGGTTCAAGTATATATCTCTCTCCTACTCGAAGTGTTATTACCTCTCTTCTGCGACTGGGTGACTTATTCGAGACTCAAGCCTCTTATAAAACCTATTTTCAGCTCACTAGCTCCCATCTCTGCCGCGTCTATCCTGTTTTTATCTTTAATACCAAGTCTATGACGTCCCATGCCCTAGTCTCTTGTTCGCCAACCCACAAACGTTATGATTCAACAGCGTAAACTTCGCCTTTCTAAATGGTAAGGACTTCAAAGAGGAAATTTTGGTATAATTGATAAGTTTAACGAATAGCTTTTCTGAAGATATTGGTAGTGACATTGAGCTACGAGTTGTCTCTTTAATTGATGGTCATGTAAGACCATATAAGAAGAGGACAATTAAAACTATTATGAGGAAGCTTAAGAACGAACAACTGGTATTAAGGGCAGACAAAGGAGGAGCAGTAGTAGTTATGGGTAAGACTGACTATGTAGAGAAAATGCTAGAGATACTAGATGATGATAAAATATATAAGACTATAATTAGATACCCGACAGAAGGATTAAGTTCAGACTTAATGGTTTTATGCAACAATGTGTAAAAAGTGGAAAACGAATGCATCTCTCCAGCGAGATACTAGACCCCAGAATCCTTAAGCAAGGTATTCCACTTGGGATTATTGTAAACAATAGAGGTAGCTGGATTTGCCTCGTGTCTAGCTAGTGACTATCACACTAACCATGACATGACCATTACATACACACAATAGACAATAGCACAAGCCCAAACATGTCTCAACATTAGACGATCGTACGCCAGTTTTTGTGGATGAAACAGCCTCCATCGAATGCATTTCCGTTCGGGAAGTTAACTTTACTTATTTGCAAGCTTGAAGAGGATGGTTGAAGCAGCTGACCAAATCAGGGGAGGACTCACTAAGATCGAGGTGTTAGGTGTATGAAAAAGTGACTAGGGTTGCAGCTGGCCACCTCTTGGTTTAGTATATTTGTTTCCGTATGTGAGTAGAGTTTCGAGACTATCAGTAAATCAGTAGTATGAGATGTATTCACCCAATTTCGTCACAATGATATAAGTAAAAACTGACGTTTCCATTGAATGTCACATATCTTTGCTTCCCCAAAAGTTGTTCTCATCCCGGCTGGAGTGGATTGCAGTTTCGACCTCGCATCAACTGGTCTTATCAACAGCCCCAGCGGGAGTCGAACCGGTAGTCTCGAAACTCTACTCACATACCAAAAATAAGTAACGTAGTCGATTGTTATAGCAAATATACGTTTGCTTCGTCGACAATCCCACCAACGAATGTGATATGGCCTGGTCTTCCTTGAAATTCACATCTGCCCTGTGTTCTAAAGGCACTCGTGGTAATGTGTCGCGGTTCGACTCCCGCTGAGGGTGTTGATAAGACCGATGCGAGGTCGAAACTGCAGTCCACCCTGAACGAGAACAACTTTTGGGAAAGCAAGGATATGTGAAATTAAATGGAACGTCAGCTCTACTTATATGATTGTGGGAAAATTCTACTACCATTCCTTCATCACCTTGAACGAAATAGGGTGAATAGATCTTATAGTTTATTTGTGTTCTATTTCGTGAAGTATTTAATCTTGTCTATCACGATGATACAGACACGAGCCGAGCACTTCTCGGCACAATTTAACAGTCTTTTTTTTGCGGCAATCTTACTTCGGTTTCCGGTGAGACCACATCACGAATTTCCTCCAACCGACTATCCCTTCGAAATGGAAAGTTATGCCACAATATTTCATCAAGAAATACTTTGAAACCCAGTCTGCATATATTCTTTATATGTAGCGTCTCTTCTGCTTCTTTGCATTCCATCCTTACGTTTCCCCATTCTATCCCGACTTTATGCGACGCCATTTTGCACTCCCAGCTTTCGCTTGTACCTCATTCTTTCCAGAAAACACTCTTCTCTGATGAGGCTAAATATTCGTGCATCGCAGCGCACGATAGAACCTAACCCGAGGGTAGATCACTAAGCATGTGTTATTTGCTTTGCAGCCATCATCAGTTTTATTTGTGTAGATATTTACAATGTCAGAACTGTAGATTATTCTTATAAAAGCCCCGAAACAACACTGTTCACAAACGTCTACTGGCTGAACTCTGCCTGTTACATACAGTCTGCAAAATAACTTTTAAAGTAAAAGTGGGTTGACCTCGTTGTCGCAACTTGGTCTTGTTTTCAGGGAGACCATGTAGAACGCAACTAGTCCGAAGTCGTCTGCCATAGTAGTTGTCATGATTCCCAGCATCCGACCGTGGAATTGATACATTCTTAAACGTTTCGCCGGCATCATCAGTCAGTTTCGCCATTCTCCGCACCAAGATACGAACTCGTCAAAGAGACAAGTCAAGTCAATCCGTCGACAAACGTTCTACCGAAAACGGTGCGGAGAATGGCAAAACTGTCTGATGGTGCCGACTACGATGCCGGCGAAACGTTAGAGAATGTATCAAGTCCACGGTCGGATGCTGGAAATCATGACAACTACTATGGCAGACGACTTCGGACTAGTTGCGTTCTACATGGTCTCCCTGAAAACATGACCAAATTGCGACAACGAGGTCAACCCACTTTTATGAATCGAAAGGAGATTGCGACCACACCAGAGGCCACAACATCTTGGTCTTCATATATTCATTTTTAAGTAAACGCTATATTTCCGGATTCATTGTAATGCGGCTTCTCTCTATTTCTACTTTCGTAGGTGCTTGTTCATTTATAAGCTTTCATTTAAGCCCATTAAGCATGCTGCTCACTTGAAAGGTAAGTTGTGTTTTATTAGCTACCAATTCCTTGCTGTACTCTGAAATCATCTGTGCTAAATATGTGCTACTAGGATAAGTGTTATATTCAAGTGAAAATTAACGTCTAGTGTCTCCTTTATTTTTTTAATTTTTGTCTAATTTACATCTTGTCCTTCAATTTGTTATTTGTTTTTGAACTTGTCTTAATATTCCTATGTGACACTTACTCAGACGTGGCAATCACTTGGCATCGTGACTCCTAAGTATTGTGCGTGAGTTTAAAACCTATAGTGCTAAGGATCACAAAATTAGGTCATTATGTTATTCCAGTAATCGAGTATCCATTTTGATTAACTAGTCATTGATTCTCGGTATCAATCCAAAATTATTTATTACTAAATAAGACCCGGCCATCCACATAAGATAACGATCATCTACATATCTTTTCACTAATGTTATTATCTATTTTAGCTCCATTTAATCACTTTAATTATGTACATTGCCATTTTTAGCTCCCAGTAAATACGACAGCGGGCTAATGAACCCATTTTTATTGTAAATAATTTATCTTAAGCTGTTTGTTACTGGTTCATTTGACGAACCAAATTTCATACTTTTGTCTAGCCTGCCATCACAAAGCTGAATGCCAAGGCTGATCCGCTCCTTCATGGCTCACAGTCCTCAAGATATCGGTCCATAACACCAGGTCCGGAATCGAATCGTCTCTGTTCAGATTTTGTTTTTTCTGACAGGCATCAGAATTCCTTGCCAACAGCAGGTGCTCTCAAGTTACATCATTTGAGCACAGACGAACTGCCGAAAAGCAGAAATGACCCACTCAAGTGCGAACCAGCATATTCTCGAATAGATGGGGATAGTGTCTGTTTACAAAATGGAAAGCAAAATTTTTCCTATTCCGATGCAAACACGAAAACTGGCCTGTCTTGTGGGTCTGAAATGAGAAAAAATGGTTCTATGCTTCCAACCGACCCGGTCGTTCAGCCGAGTTTTCCGTACGCCCACTCGGAGAGTGTTGTGCTCACAAGGCCGTCAAATGAATGCATAAACATCAAAAAGCTACGTGATTGTGCTGGAATCATGCCTACGACCCAGCCTGCTGAAAGACCAATTCATAATCCTACACACGAGCACGCTAACATAATAGGTGAGACTTTATATTTATGCATAGGCCACTAATGTCTTCATAAGGATTAGATGAATACGATATATTCTATGCCTCAGGTATTCGAACAACGGAAGTAGAGCGCATCTGATGGATCTCTTTAACCGACTATGAACACACGTTTTCCCGCAATCATGTACTTATCTTTGTAGCCTAGTTCGACCCAGTCTTGAAATTCATTTCTTCTCTGTGGCCCATTAGCACATGTTGCCGCGTCTCGTACGATCTGGAGTGTTTGAGGCCGAAACTGAAGCCCAATCTAGATTAGTACACATTTTCATCATAAGAAATTCATTTATCACTCATTAACGCACTTTAACCAATCTAAGAAGACTGAAGTTTTTATTTCTGAAATGGTGTTTTATATCTAAACATGCTTAACATTTACAAAGCCAAACGCCGGTTTATTTATTTAAGGTAACAGCTCTGACCATATCAGCTAACTAATACTTCAGCTTCACTTATTTACAAACACTTAGGTTACGCGTAAAATAACCAAAAAAATCATCTAATTCTTGACCAAGGGGGCAAGATTATGTCTTAGAGGTGAGTCCATAACCGGTCATATAGTCTGGCTTTAGTGTATCAGTGTGTTTTATGCATAAACGATCTTTCTCCTGTGATGACGACCTTTGTCGCTTGACACACAAAGCTCAACACGGTTTCTTTTGAGTTGCTGAACGGTGAGTCGAGGACTTTGCACAATCAAATAGTATTCACTCTAGGGCAACAACTCTCTTTCGTTTCCCTGTGGGAACCATTTACAAATTCATTCGAATCAACTTCTTCTTTGAAATGAAAGGTTGAGTTACATTGACTACTTGTATGGCTGTTGGGTTTTGCGATCAGACATAGCGGATTACACGGTGGGCATTGAACATGAGATATAATGGCTTAAAATTGGTTGTATTGACGATTTTGTGGAGATATTTAAAGGTCATGAAAACTAACAGACTAGGCAATATCTGAAATATAAGATTTGTATTCACCTTTATTTCGTTTAAGCTACTAGCCGTCGAATTTTTCCACAATAATATGAGTAGGCTTCATGCTTCCAATAAATATCGCATAGACTTGCTTCCCAAAAGGTATTCTCATCCAGACAGATGTGGACTGGAGTTTCGTCAGCAGCCCTAGCTGGACATTAATGACTACGTCACACTGCCTCATGTGCTCTTGAGTCACAGAGCAGAAGAGAATTTTTTGTTGGAACATTCAAC